TCTTTGTCTTACTGGTGCCTCCATGACATTTGTTGTTACAGAGAGAAAGGGGCCATGCCTGAAAAGGGTAAGTGAGTTAAAATTTTTGAAAGTTACTTTATGAAATAAGCTAAGAAATGGCATACTAGCATCACTTTTCAAGAGCATTTGGGGACTGATATATAGCAGTTTCACTCTTTAACAAATATGATGTAAGCTTTGGCAACCATGCCCACTACCTTAAGTTATTTCTATTCAGTTGTTTTACATTATAGTTTTTCATAGCTATTAGGTCTGGTTTTTAATTTTGTTTTGCTTTTCCCTGTATGATAGGTACAGAAGACAGACTAGTAGCTGGCATAATGTGATTGGTTTATTTTTTGCCACTGTGTTTCATAAACTATAGCTTGAGGGATTCACATATCATGCATTCCCAGCTAATGTGGTGCAAACTTGGCTAAAATAAGAGAAGTCACCCAGGGATGTGGCCCTAGAGATGATTTGGACCACAAGTCAAACAATGATGTCTTTACATTGGGAGGCTAGAATGAATGGAAGTAGAATTCTGAAATATCTAGAGGGAATAAGTGAGATAAAGTGAGATAAATTCAAAGAATTATCCAATGACAGATCAGTTACTTCAGGGGCTGAATAGCCTGCACTTTTTTCAACATCAGAAAATCCCAATTTCACAAACTGAGTTCAGTTCGTACCTGGTTGAATCTACTTGGCCATTCAATATTATCTCCATGAATGTTTAACATTCTTAACGAAAAAGCCGGGGGCTCTATTTTGCCAACTCTTACTCTCCGAAAGGATTGGTTTGGGAAAGTGACCCAATTTAAAATGTCAAATCCTGCTATTATTGAACCATTTTCATCAAAAGAAAGCTTTTCACCAGCAGAGTTGTTAAATGAAACGCTTCTCAGATAGCGGTGGAACTGAAATCAGAAAGAATGAAAAAATATGAATGTGATATTCAAAAAGAGCTAATGCAGCAAACTTTCACATCTGAGATTCTCTCTCCCTCTCTCTTTCTCTCTCCCTCTCTCTTATCTCCCAGAAGCTTTATCTAGGTTAAAGAAATACTAATATACAGTATCTAAAAAGACAGTATATAACCTAGATTTCCACTCTTACAGATGTGGTGAACAGGCATATATATTTCAGCTTGGAATACCATTACCTGCCAGAGTGACTGATTCAGCAGTTTCCATATTCCTCCCTGTGCTCTTGCTCTGTGCAAGGACATGGTTGAATGCACGTCATGCAGAGCGTGAGCTACAGCATAGACAGCATTATAGATGCTGTAGCTGTGAGCGGCCAGATGTGTTTCAAAAACAGTTACAGGAAGAGAGTCTAGTTCTTCTTCCCCAGTGCAGATTTTGCTCTCCTCTTGATCTACCAGAGAAATAGCAAATACACAGTTAAAAGCTTGTTCCCAAAAAGCTTTGATGAAACCATCTTCTCCTGTCCCTTTAGGATTTCTGGCGTGAACAAAG